ACTACTAATAATATGTAAGTAAAATAATACTACCACTACTACTACTAATACGTAATAAAATAAATGGAAAATAAAACAAATGATACAATTGCTCACCACCCACCAACCAATACACAGCCAGGTCCTGAGCAGTGCATGTCACAGTGCCTGAGAGAGATTGCATCAGTGTCAGGCTGAGCCCCATAACCAAGATCGCGAGCAAGAAAAACAAACAACTAACCTGGCCCCCAGCCCACCCCCAACTTATCTACTGAGCATGGCATTTGACAGAATGAAATACACCTGTGGTCAGTTTGGGTCAGCTGTCTGAACTGTGTCCCCTCTGTGGTGCTTGTAGCGAAGAAACCAGCAGCACAGGCTCCGTACCAGAAGCCGAAAAAGTCCTTGAATTGGTACAAACACTCCTTGGCAACAACTAAAAACACCAGCGTTATCAACCCACAGGAACTGATTAAAGCAAGCCCCAAGTGTAAGTACACAGCGCAGGCACTGGGCTTTGGGCACCAACTTCACCCTGTCAATCTGCCTCTCTTGGCTGCATTACTTGCTAGAGGACCTGCTACTTTGCCACTGGGAAACAAAACCAACATCAATACTAAACAGCATTAACTTGCTTTAAACTACTAAGTTACAGAGCTTCAAAGGTTTCCCTACGTTATGGTCAGTGTATGTGACTACCTAAATATTAGAGTCCATTTAAGAAAGTCAACAAAATTTGCAGAATTTTCTTAACTTGCAAAGGGGTTCTGCACTTTCCTGAAAATCAGTTTGACAGCATCGATAAATAAGGAGGCTCTATTTATCTTATTCTCTAGTCAAAGCAACGTTTCAAGTAACAGCAGTGAGATTCAACTTCTCCCACACAAAAAGTAAATGGACACCCAATGCTGAAGATACTAATTTTTCTTTCTTTCAGGCCACAAAAAAGGCTCTGATAATCAGATTTTTTTTTTTAATAAACTGGATGCTGCAGTGCAATCAATTTATTTATTCAAACAAAAAACAACTTTAATGATAAATGCTGGTGTTATCTACACTTGGAGAGTCACACTGAATTCTTGTCTACATGGAGAATCAGAAGCGATGCTCTTGTTAGCAGCTGACTGCTATCCTTCATGTCTTGGAATGCTGTACTGAAATTAAGTTAACAGAAAACATGGAAAGAGCCACTGCCACTTCACTTCATTGTAACTGAATGTTGAGTCTAAGAAACTCAAATTCCATCAACCACTGTTTAACAGGCTAGTTCTTTGTAAACACTTGAAAACAAATTTATCAGCAAAACTGTGACAAGTAATCTCCACTTTGACTATCGGTCACGGGCAGGTGACAACAGAACCTACTCTCATTAGACTCAAACTGGATTGGGGATGCCAGATATGTAAACTGTACGCTGTAATCGGAAGCATGAGAAAACTGAGAGGACAGGCACTAATTTATATACTGTTTCCTACTGCTGCCAGAAAAGGGTCAAGAACTTGTTGAAAAGATACTTCATAACAACAAATCCCTCAAACTGCAGTTAGTTGTAGCTTTAATATGTACTATTACGCATTCAATTACTCTGTTTCCACAAGAGCAGACAATTCATAGTTATTTCGTTCCATGCACTTTTAATATGCTTGAGAGATCCGTTAAAAGAAAGATGAATGCTTGAAGGCTGAAACTTCTTTCCTGCCCCTTGTACACCTGTAAAACCATAATGACGACAAAAAAAGTTGTGCGTGTACACCAGGAATAATTCACCTATAATGCTAGGTTTCTGGATGTGAGGGAGAGAAATCATTTTTATGAACATCAGGTTCAACTATAAAATTTAAAGAGCCAAGAGGACACAAAGCTACATGGTAGCCACATTCACCAGTTTGCACCTGTGAAAAGTACTGCATGTCCTAATGTAAAAAGCTAATGGTTAGTAAAATGTTTCAATATTTTCATCACATTCCATTATGATCTCCAGAAAAATATTTCCTTGATTTTCACAAAAGCAAGTAACTATTTTGTTTCAAGGAGTAATCTGACACGCTGTAGGTTTCAATCCATCTTGTAACACAAGTTAAGTTTTGCAACAGCACGATGCTGTACAATACCCGAGTTTACCAGTCTGTAGAAGCACTAAGTAACAAGCTGTTCTCAAGGCAGTAAGACTTGGAAAGGTGAGGAAAGGTCCCATTGTCAACTATAGTCCACAAAAAAAAATGCCCAAGAGCTGCTTAGATAGAAGAGGAAGCTAAGCAAGTTTGACTGTGATGATCTGAGTCAGAGTTAATTTCTTCACAGTAGCTCTGAAGAGGCTGTGTTGCGAATCTCTGCTGATAATGGTAACACTGCTGCTTTTAGTTGTTGCTAAGAATCCAAGGACTTTTTCAGGTTCCGATACTGTGTCTCTGCTCCCAACTGTTTTGCGATAAGCACCGTGGAGGGCACACAGTCCCGAGAGCTGGCCCAAACTGACCAAAGGGACATTTTATTGCATAGAATGTCATGCTCAGTATGTAAGTTGGGGGGGGG